GAATGACTGCAAGCATTTTAAGATGGAAAAAGTTAACTCACTTTTTTATTAGATCAGAGGGTAATAAAACTCCAGCATTGGTGCACACAATGAGCCTTCACTTGGGCTAAGGAGGGAGGAGGCGAAGCTTCCAGGCTTTCATTTCCACCAGAATTAGGATTTTTTTTTCTCCTGCAGTGCACCAAGTAGTAGTGTAAGGAAAACAAACCACCTTACTCACAGACTCTGTACAATAAGATCACAGAAGAGGGTTGGACTCAACCAGCCTCTGAAAATCTTTGCTGCCAGATTTTATTTTGACCCATATACTAGTAAAATAACTAGTGTCATATCACTGCATCTTCCTCATCTGACTGAAGAACCAATACTGACAAGTGTGGAAGCCTCCTCCCCTCACTCTGCTTGCTAGAGGGAGGGTCAGTGCGACATTGAGCTAATACAGATAAGAAGGGGAATTTAGATGGTGGGCAGTCACAACAAAAATTGCCTTCTCTCTTTTGCAACCTATTTCTCCAGCTTGCCCATTCCCTCCAGGGTGCAGCTGCTGCTTTCACCCTTCTGTCATCCATTTTCCATGTGCATTTATTATTTTAACAAGCCCCTTTACCTCTTCCGCTGTGACTAATGGGGTTACAGCACTGTAGGGCCTTCACAAGCTTTTTCTTTCACAGCTAAATCCATCCTTAAAATGCATTTACAGTCTAAACTTCCTTTATACTTCAAGAGTCACTCATCTCCATGATCATCTATCCTGTAACATTTTCAGGCTCATACAAAAACAAGAAAAGCAAAAGAAAAGACAATATTCCTCTAGAAGATCCTTCTTCTTTTAATTCTTCAGTTCCACCCTCTGTTCTGTTCTACAGTCCCCCAAAATCTTCACGTGCACACGTAAGCCTAGAGATCTCCTGAATTAACTTACATATTTTGCTTTTAAGTTCACTCCACTATGCAGTTTGGTTATTGGCACAAAAGGTATTTAGACTAATTTTCTATTTTGCATCTTATTTTCAGATTTATCTCTGTATGATTACAGCTGCAGCAACCATATGCACATTTCTACTTTGTGTCTTGATTTCCTCCTGATTATTTTACATTGCACGCCTCAGAGGGAAGGGCAGCATCTTTAGCTCATGCAGCATTCATCATATTGCAGCTGGCCAAAAAGTAAAAATAAAAGGGTTTGAAAATCAGAGTAAATTAACAGATGCAGCTATACAAAAGGACACAAGACTTGTGAGCACCGTATAGCGATGGTCAACACTGGAGAAATATACAGATGTTTTTCCTAGAGGGAATCTCACTCTTTTTGCTTAATTTCAACACCCTTCAACCACCTGCACCAATTTTTATTATATCAGAGGGTAACAAACTTAAATATTGGTGCACACAGAGAGCCCTTATTAGGGCTGAGGTATAAGGAATAAACTGTTCCAAAATTTTATTTCCAGGAGGTTTTTTAATTTGTGCACTGCATAGCAATGCTAGGTGGACAAACTATCCCCGGTGAGCAGACTGCAAAAATTCAGGGAGGATGACCAGGAAATGAGAGGGTCTTCACAGAGACCTTGCAGAGGCAAGATCCTGACCCTTGTCATGCAAGGCAGGAGGGACAGAGGCTACACTTGAGCAAGAGGTCGATGGAGACTCCTGAGATGAGGAGGCTAGAAATTTGTGACTTCTTGCAGTAGCAGAAATGCTACTTCTCTGCCCTCAGATCTAAGTTTACAGAATTGGTAAAGTATCCTAACAACCAATGAGGGAGAACAAGCACCATTAAGGAAGGCTTTGAAACCAGCTGAGCTTGAACAGAGCATTAGCAGAGAGCATGAGGAAGTGGTGGGTGACTGTAGTTGGAGATTCCCTCCTGTGAGGGATGAAGGCACACATCTGCTAAACAGTCATGCTGTTACAACAGGTTTCTTTTTTTTTAGGGGTCCCAACCCACGACATTGCAGAGAGATTGCCAATGATTTTCCATTCCTTGGACCACTACCTATTGTTGCACAACCACATAGACAACAAAAGATGCTGCACAGTACAGATCAGGACTACAGAGCTCTGGGGGCAAAGTGAATGAGATGGGACCCCACACTTTGTTAACCCTACGGGGTGAGTGAAGGGTGATGCTCTTCTGGATTTCCTACTCACAAATAAGGAAGAACTGACTGGAGACGTGATAATCAATGGCAGCCTTCACTGTATTAACTATGAGATAACTGAGTTCAGGATCCTGAGGGTGGTGAGGAAAGAACAGCAGAGTACAGAGATGGAGACCAGGCTTCAGCTTGTTCAGGCAGCTGGTTTGTGGGATCCTCTGAGAGGAAGTTTTGAAGGGAAATGGAGCTCAAGAAAGCTATCAGGTCTTTCAGGACAACCTCTTCCAAGCACAAAACTCAGGAGAACAAGAAGACCAGGAGTACGAGGAGACAGCCCCTAGCTAAGCAGGGAAGTCATGATTGAACTACACCGCAGAAAAACAGTATAAAGGAGGTGGAAGCAGGAGTAAGTGACTAAGGAGGAACTGCCTGGACACCTAGGGATGGTGTTAGGAAAGCCCAAGCTCATCTGGTTTTGAAACTGGCAAGGGATGTTATGGGCAATAAGAAGAGCTTCTACCACCACTTGAGCAATAAAAGAATGAACAATGAAAATGTGCACCAGCTGCTAAATAGGTCAGGTCATTTACTGACAATGGATGCAGACACGGTTCTGGACGTCACTGACAAGGTCTTGCAGTCCTTTGCACTTACAGAGTTCAAGAAGGAGAGAAACTACCAGTACTAGAAGAGGATTAAGCGAGGCATCTCTTAAGAAACCTCGTCTGGCCCCCCTGGGACTTCTATAAGCTGGGATCTGTAGGAAGATGCTGAGAGACTGTCTGATGACACTGCAAGGCCATTCTCTCGTATTTGAAAAGTTGTGGAAATCAGGGGAAGTCTCCAACAACTGAATAAAAGCACCTACTGCACCCATCTTCAAAAAGAAACAAGGATGACCTGGGGAACTACACATTGGTCAGTCTCACTTTTTGCCTGGGGAAATCATGGAGCAAACCCTCTTGGAAGCTATTTCTGGATACAAGAAGAAAGTGACTGGAAAAGTCAGCATGGATTCACCAAGGATAAATCATGCCTGACCAACCTGATTGCCTTCTACGACGAAATGACTCAATTTGTGGAA